TTCCACTAATTGAAATATCTTTAAATCCACATTAAAATGAATTCAACACACTGTAGTAAACAGATAAATGGAGGGGCTGGGCACCGTTTCATTTACAACACCTGTCCCATCAACCAGGAATCAGAATCAGAAATACTTCCATAATCTCAGGGCAAAATTACTGTTGTTACATTACTCTATCTGTAATATAGTGACTATAGGACCAGTTTGATAAAACACAATTTCATACAATATGTATATTTAGGGGATCCCCGCTCCATCTTGCCATCAGTTTGGGGGTCCTTGGCCTGGAAAACGTTGAAGACCCCTGATATAGAGTAATGGAGCCTAGGCGGAAGTAAAACTGAAGAAAGGTTTACTATTTGCCTCTATCACGGGCCAATCAGCATCCATAGTTCATCTTAAAAGGTCTCCAAATCCACATCTCTGTCTGCTTCCCAAAGAGCATGCAGTTGTCGGACTTCGATTCAGAATCATCATCATCATAGCTGAAGCTTTATCAGAGTTTCATTCTGCGTCTCATTTCAACCGCCAGAAGATCGCCATGTCAAGCCTGATTCTGCCAGAGGTTTCTTCCCAACGGGGAATCTTTCCTCTCCACTGTCGCTTCATGCTTGCTCATCATGGACAGGTTCTCTCAACCTGTGTTATCCGAGCTGGACTTCCATCTTCCAGGTCTCTGAGTGAAGCTCTAGTATCAGCTCACGCAGTCCACTGGATTTCTCCCTTTAGCTCAGCATACTCTCTCGCCAGCCAGCAGTCTATGGACCAACCACCTTCATCCTCTCCACTCCACCACCAGTTTCAGGCCAGGGGAGAATCAACCCTGTTCTTTACTCCTGGTCATGCTTATCTATCAAAATTCAGCACTGTTTTTTGCCGAGATCTGAGCGCCAAGGACTACAGTAATTGCATCAATAAAATTCTTTTAATTGTCTTTTCTTTCTGTGTGAGTTTTTCAGATTGAAAACACCATGCATGCCTGTCAATTTTTTTTACTGACTATTAACTCCAACACCTGAGCAGATTTACACTCAGTATAGTTGTAAATATTCTATTTAGAATAAAATAGGGTAACTCTGTATTTTTAATACCCTTTTCTTCTTTTTTTTTTACTGTGCAGGAACAGTTGAGTCTAATCAACAAAATGCGCTGTGGTCTGGACAGGGCATGGGCTGATGAGGGATAATTATGAATGATAACACAAATACAAAGGGACCTGTAAATTATTAAACACAATTTAATAATAAAACTTGTTTATGGGTTTTTTGCAAGAAGTCAAATCCATAAAAAACTAAAGTGTGATTTATAAGCAAAATAATTATGAAGAAAGGGCAATAAGATGATGATCCATGTCTGACTAAGAGCCCATTCAAAACAACATTTGTTTGATCAATTTTTTCAAAAACATCAACAGAGTTTTGACAATTCAACCTGGAGAGACTCACACAGAGAAAAGCTGCGATTATATAAAATTTATTTATACAGGTAACACATTCATATTCTTCAAAATATTTCTATCAAAGGAAAACCAGCTGATTGCACGGACTAATTATCTCTCTGCAATCCCTCATGCTGAGCATGCACGTAGCGACAGTGGAGAATAAAAACTCCCTTTTACACTCCAGCAGAACCAGACTCAGTGTGAGCGGCCATCTGCTGAGGCCGACTGGGGTTCAAGGAGACAGAAGCAGATAAAGACAAAAATTAAATAAGTTCTTTGGTGCTCGGACACCACCAGAAGACATTGATGCTGTGAATAAACATTTGCTTGGATGAGTATCCTAGAAAAGGATTAGAGTAGTCTTCCCACAGACAGCTGGATGAAGGGGATCTTGCAAGATGATTGGCATTGGAGAAGGTTCAGCCAGAGCTGAATGAGGAATTTAATGTATCTATTTTCTAATGTATTTGGACCCTCTGTTTACCCCAGGGATCACATCATGATGAAAATTAAAACTGACTGGATGAAAAATGGTTCTTTTTATGGGCTGCAGGTTGACAAAGCGATCTGCTTGAGCTTTCACAGTGAGACTAAGATGATTGCATCAAGTTAACAGCTGGAGCTTTCTCAGGGAGGTTTTGAGCCTGGAAAGATGGAATTCCAGCTAAGAAAAATGGATGTTCACATGAACCTTCTATTATGAGCAAGCAGAGGTGACAGTGGAAAGAAAAAAAACTCCAATTGGTGAAAAAACCTGGCAGAACCAGGCTCAACATGGCGGTCTTCTATCGGACCGAATGGGGATGCTCCAGGGAATGCAGTATGAGTAGAGGAGGAGTTAAACATCCAATATGGTATGTTTCTATTGACTGGTGGTGTAAACTGCCAACAGGATGAGTCATGGCTTTAAAAGCCTTTTAAATTGAACTCTGAATGCTGATTAGGCTTCTAGGAAGTGAGGTCCAATGAGACTAATGAACCTCTGATTGGATGCCCATATCAATTTAGGTTTTTCAGGTGAACTTCCACCTAAGCTTTGTATAATTTACATTGTACATACATTTTTATGAGAGACATTTCAGTGAGACTTTTTTTTCTAAATATGTCTGTTTCACACCTCTGCCAAATTTTAAAGATGTCCGGCTTAAAAAGTTTTTTCAAAGTCTTGAATCGGCTTTAGAAAAGGGGAGCAGAGATGAAAAACAAAACAAAGAACAAAGAAACAAAAACAGGCAATAAAAAGACACCTATTGTCCACTTCTCTAGATGGACACTTAACAGCCAAAGCTCCCAGATAAATACCATGTATGTTTGGAAAATACCACCTTGTCTATCTCATTAGTAAACACATGTATTTATATTTGCAAAAGAAAAAAACTACATTTCTTTTTCTCTTTTAAGATATTAATTTTCTAGATGTCTTTACAGTGAGTAAAGTGGAACTGATGTGTGATTCCTTCTTTGTGTGCAAAAACTTAAAGCTAATTCTCATTCTGAAAAACTTGAGCCCAAATTAGTAAAATACCAAACTATTATGGTATAATGTAGGACCTATTTTAACCCACATTTACTAATGTATAAAAAAACAACAAAAAAGAAACAAAACACTCTGAACTGGCTATTTCAGGAAATATAAACAGGGAACCATTTACATGTATCCTTGTGTTCCCGTTGAGACTGCTATCACATTTTTTTCAAATTTTGGAGCTCATCTGCCTGGCTGTGTGTTTCTTGGACAGGGCCACTTGTGGAGCTGGTTTACAGTCGCCTTCTGTATCTCTACTTCTTTTTCTATGTCTGCTTCTGTCTCCTTGAACCCCAGTCGGCCTCAGCAGATGGCCGCTCACTCTGAGCCTGGTTCTGCTGGGGGTTTCTTCTTGTTAAAAGGGAGTTTTTCCTCTCCACTGTCGCTACAAGCATGCTTAGTGTGAGGGATTGCATTTGAGTCAATGAGTCAGTGCAATCAACTGGTTTTCCTTAGATAGAAAACTTTGAATCTATTTGACTGTATCATCTGGATGATCTGTAAAGTGCCTTAAGATGACATGTGTTGTGAATTCAGCGGTATAGAAATAAACTGAATTGAATTGAATTACAAATTGAACTGCATACCTCATCTTCCATGGAGACAGGCGGTTTTCTCTCTATTTTACAAAAACCAAGATAACAGAGGAGCTGTATGACATTAGTATTACTGCCACTCAAATTACAGTTTTCTTAAGGAACAAACTAAACTTAATCTCTAATGATATTGATGAAGTGCTTCACTTTTAATACACATCCTGCAGAGCTTGATTATTTAACAACACATTAGATTAAATTCTGTTTTCATCCCTCACCACTGAAAAAATAAGTAAAGGTCCTCTCATAATTAACACACTTCTCTCAAATACTTGCAGACAAACACAAACCAGGGAGTGTTTTCTTTACTGATGTTATCACAGCAATAAAACAGCCTAAAATAGAAATTATTTTACTTTACGATATGAAATAAATTAGCTTTGGTTTATGCATTATTTTGCATGTTTTACTTTTTTTTTTTTTTCGCAGTGCTTCTCAATTTTGGATCTAACCTTAGACCTGGCCGTGCTACTTTCCTGGGCTAGAACGTAGGTGGTGTAACTTTAATCTGAACACGTGGTCTGTTGCTTAAAAGGTTGCATAATAAAAAGAAGTTATGTTGTAGCTGAGGTAGAGATCCAATAAATCCAAATGCAGCTGCACACCCTTTTCCCTGAAAAGAAAACTTTGAATCTATTTGACTGTACTATCTGGATGAATTGTAAAGTGCTGGATAAATTGTAAAAATGTAATGCAACCGTTTTTTGGCATTTACTTAATCCTGTTTATTTACTTTAACACAATTGTTTCAAGCAGGGTAGGACATAAATAACCGTGTTAAAGTAGCTGAATGTGATTAAGTAAATGCCAAAATCGGTGCATTATTTTTTCATGTATAAAAGCTTCCACGTCCAACCTTTGGAATTATATATCTGGGTTAAAAAATACACGTTCATTTTAGTTTTGAGACTATATAGGGGCTTTAGATCTGTGCATTCCATGTTTAAACAGATGTAAACTTCCAAAAAAGACAAAACCACAAAAATAACTCCTACTTATCCATAGCTCAGTTTGGGATGCACGCATTGTCCCATCAGGGATCCCTTGCAGCCACTGCAGGAACAAGAAGCTGTCCTGGAATTGGATGGGAGGTGGGGGACACACACTGTGACGAGTCATCAACATCACCAAAGGGTGCAGTGCTTAATGCTGCTGTTCTCCACAAATACATCCTGCAGATAATAGTTTAGGGCTTACCTTTTATGGTAGAAAAAAAAATAACTTTCATGTGGTGCATGCACAAATTGTCTAAAGTGTGTAATATGGATACAGGTATGGACATAATCATTCAAGCCATCTGCTAAGGCTAAAAGAGTAATAAAAGGACTGTTGCTATGATAAAAAAAGTAAAGTTAATGGAAACAGTTTGGAAGAAACCATTCTGACATCCCTGCATGTGAGGAGCCCACCCCACCTCAGCTGTATAGTGAGGAGAGCCCAGTCCAGGCAGCCAGCAACCAGCGCGTCTGTGCCTACCAATAGGCATGCTCGGCTCAGGCTCTGTGCAGTGCTCAGTCTCAGCAGCAGAAGCTGGGCGCAGGGGAACTGCGACGCCAAACATCCTCCCAGGTAAGCTCCGACCGCCGCTACGCCCTGTTTTTTTTTTCTTTCTTTTTTTTGCGCCATGCATTTTCAACCATTCCCATGGATGATGCTTGTTGTATCTTCTATTACTATTTTCCCCCCCTCTTGTATATGCGTGTGCCTCACGTAGCCTCTACGATTTGGGGCTTGGTAAACAGTGAGGGAGGACGCATCTGCAAAACCCCGTCAACTTGCACACGCCTCAAAATGCGCTCCTGTCGACATGAGAGCGCAGAGCTGCTGCTGCTGATGAGGCGTGGATGTGCGCTCCCTCATCCTGCCTCCATTTATTTATTCTTTTATTTTTTTTTGGTGGGTGGGCATTTAAGGGTTTTATTTTTATTTATTTATTTATTTTGAATGATGTGGCCAAGCGCCTTTCTAATATTTTCAACTTAGAGGGCGTGTAGCTGGAGATTTTCCCCTGCAGGTATTAGGAGCTGATGTGAAATATCATTTCAAGGCTGTCAGTTTTCATGCAGGCTGTTGCCATACACCGCTGCAGCAGGCTGTGTGGAGGCTAGGTCATGCTGTATCTATAATGCATGATGTATCAATCACAACACTGATATTTTATTGATATCTGAGCTGTGATACAACGGATCTATTTCACTTCATCATTCATTCATAGCAGTAAGGTATCCATAGAAGGGATTGGTTGCTTTTTTTGTTGTTTCTAATTAATAACTTGTGCTTTAAATGAGTTTGCAGAGGCAGTTTATTTTTATGATCAGTCAGATGTGTGGCTGCTCTGTCACTAGGTAGGATGTAGGTACACTCCCTTAGCTGTTAGGGTGGTGCTGATTGCTGATGTGCTACAGTGGCCACTACCTGTGCATGCAGTTTTCAGACCTGGATGTATTGCAGGCAGTTATTTATTTTCTTCTAAAAGTTAAAATATAACTTATTTTAATTAATATATACTAAAGCTCTGCTTTGATATATGTTGTTATTGGAAGGATTTGAGAAGAAATGCTGGGATTAAAGCAAGAAGAGTGTTAATTGCACTAATTATCAGCTTCTAAATGATGAGAGCTGCAGTTTTTCAGCGGCAGATCTTAACTGCTTTTGTGTTCTTCGCTTGAAGAACTTTTACCTTTCTTATTTTTCTATTTCTGTAACTTGCTCGGTCTGCGTCCTCCTGTGTGGAGAGATAACTTGTGTTGTGGTTACTTTTGGTGTAGTTTTGTTGTTGCTATGCAAAAAAAGAGGCTCATGTGCCATATTTCCGCTGCAATCATTTGAAGCTGTGACCTTGTCAAAAAAGAGCCACAACTCCACAACTGTTTTTATCGATTGTGTTGGGATTTCACCCTCCCACACAAACATAAACCCAGTTGAGTTGTTTTATTTTTTTTTTTTACCTTATTTGCTCCACTTTAAAAACCAGTAAGCTTTAGAGGACTTGGAATCTTGATTTGATTATATACTCATGACCTTTTCTCGTTTATGCTCTGTGATTTGCAGGTTTACCGAAAAATAAATGTATGCAACTATTTTTTGCAACAACTTAACACGATTGTTTTAATGTTAGCAGGGTAGGACATGAACAATTATGTTAAAGTAACTAAATATGATTAAGTAGATTCCAAATACAATTGCATTAGAAAATCCTCGTCCTTTAAAACCATCGTGATGATTTTTGTTTTTCTCTCTTCTGTTGAGCTCCATGCATGTTTAGATTGTGTTAATTGGCCCATGCAGATTGGCTGATAGTAAGTGTTGCAGGGAATAGAGCTTAGCAAACCATGTCATGTGAACTCTTACTCAGGATCCAACTCTAAACTGCCAAGTGAAGAAAGTTCAGGGGTGAGAAATATTAAGGTCACTCTAAGGTCAAGATGTCATATTTCTTTAATAAACAGAAATTTGTCTGAATTATGCAAGTTATAAATAAGATTGTTATAAATGAGATTTGGTTTATTTATTAATACAGTTAAGATTTCATAATCTGAAACAGTTTTTTCAGAATCCCTTAAGTGCACAAAAGTCAAAGTTTGTTTTATTCTGAATGAGAGGTATTGCAAGGGAGTCGAGTTTTCACACAAAACCCCTATAGAAACAACCATTTATTTTAATGCCAAGTAAGAATTAAGAAATTAGGAGTCAACTACTGCGTCCTTCACCCTCAGCTTCTAAGATCATTTTTTTTTATAATAACAAAGTAGGAGGGTTTGTGCGAAAATGTCATACATTTTTAGTCATCTATTTTATTTTTATGGCAATCGTGGCATTAATTTGCAGTATTCAGACAGGAAATGGCCAGAGAGAGCTTCCAAAGCCGGAAGTCGAACCCCTGACCTGATGGCTGTGTCAAGGACTTATAGCCTCAATATACGGGACAGCTGTTCCAACTCTATGCTGTACTTCTAGCCTTCCATAATGTCATAACGTTTCCCATTTTTTGTCCAACTGTTCATGTCGCCCCTGAGCGCATGGCTCTCTGGGAGGAGAGCCATATCACCCATTTAAAAAAACAACCAATATTGAGCATATTTTTAAGTAAATGTCAGCCATAAAAACTGATCTTTAATGGTGGGAATGACTTGGTTTGGGTACATTTACACAAGACACAGCTCGATTTATGGAGATAAATACTTTCTTAGTCATTTTAGTTAATTATTGTTTTTGGCGTAAAAATATAATGTGTATATATAACTCTGGAAATACATGTCCCAGAGATTATAGCCCAAAATGTTTGCTTGAAAATCTCAATTTAGGTAAAAAAAGAAAATAATTTCTGTGCTCTCAGCTAACTGATACTCATGAACTCATATTTGTTCTGTCATAGTCCAGATAAAAAAAAAATAAAAAAATTCTGACATTTCCATTTGCATTTGTAATCATTACATTTATTATACAATTAAATTTACATTCAAATTGGAGAAAGACCTTCAGTAACGTAATGTTTATGCAAGATTAATATTAAAAAGTTTTTCAGCACTTCCAATTAATTGATGATGTTCAGTCAGACAATCATCCCACCTCCTTTACTCTCTGAAATATGTTATTTTTTAAGTGCAAAAATGCTAAATATTTGATGTTTTCTCAGAACGCCCTTTTTTATTTGTCTGAATCCATATTACAGAGTATAAGGTCATTGCTCATAGACTGTATAATTTGATCATTATGGCTATATGTTTTTTTATGTATATTACAGTTGCTTTAAATCTTGAAGATGGTTTAGTATTGATGAGGGTTTTAAATGGAGTAACCCATGGAGAAATTAAGGCTCTTTACTAATTTAGAGACTATGAAGTAAATTAAACAAATAGAGGTCATATGCTCTAAGTCAACAAACCACATTTGAATGTTGTCACAATAAATGTTTGATTAGAATTGAATTTGTAGTTTAACTTTTGACAACATAAAAAATTCTCTGAAAGATTATTGTTAAAACATTGAGCAGGGGAAAAAACTGACCAAATATAGATAAATGATAAGAATATGAATCCAGTAAGTTTAACATTTGAACAGCCTGGGGCATAAAAACTGTTTGGGGTATAAAACCTCAGTTTGATGGAAATAGTGGAAAAAGTCCATTCATATGGTGTGATGGGTGTCTAACAATGGTCAGAGAACCGTACCTGCAGCAGCTCCAAAGCAGACTGTGACCGGGAACTACCCTCTTTGCTCCCCTCGCTGTCTTCTGCAGGGCGTGATTACCTGCTCTATTATAGCTAAAGTATCACATTCAGGTTCAGAACATCAACACACTTTAAAACCACGATTCTCTAGCAAATTTTGAGGAGTTTTGCAGAAGGTCAACGCTTCTTTTGATTACTTAATAATAATATTATCATTTCAAAAAGCTTTGAATAATAAAACCTGCTCTCATCTCTGAAGAGTCAGTGATTTCTATAAAGTGAGCAAAGATTATTCTGTTTTCTTACATTGATTTTCATTATTTTCCTGTAGTTTCTTACTTACAATTAAGCTGTTTTTTTGGATTACACAACAAGGCCATTTTTTTAAGAGTAATAAGCAAAAATGGCAAAGCGGAAAGTATTGCTCAACCTTAAGCTTACATTTCTCCTGGTATTGTTGCCTCTTTTCAGTCTGTAAATAGGCGTTTTAATTTTAGACGGCAATTTTAAACACCCAATGATCTGATTATGTATGGCACTTCAAAATGTGCCTGCTCTGAGCCTGGCTGTTATATTTTTTGTGCATTGTGTTATAACTTAACTTATTACTATGTACAGTGCTTTGGCCACCTCTGTGGTTTTTAAAATGTGCTTTAGAAATAAAGTTAGTAAAGTCGGTACAAGCATGCTTAGTGTGAGGGATTGTATTTGAGTCAATGAGTCGATGCAATCAACTGGTTTTCCTTAGATAGAAAACTTTGTATCAATTTCACTGTATGATCTGGTTGAACTGTAAAGTGCCTTGAGATGACATGTGTTGTGAATTTGGCGCTATATAAATAAACTGAATTGAATTGAATTGAATTGAAAGTTAATTGATTGATTCATTTTAAATGTTGAAAAGAGTATTCAATAGTGCCTCTGTGGTTGAATAGTGACGTGTGACCTCAGGATTCAGAATCAGGAGAAATAAGAAATACTCTCTCTCTCTGCAGTCAGTTGCATCTAATATGTGAAGAATTAGAATAAGTAAAAAAGTTGTTTATAACACGAATATTTGGCAAGATAAGTTTGATGACTAAATGTATGATGCATTTTAAAAAGTTTTTGCAATCCTAATATGATGTCAAAGCCTCAAAATTCAAATTCAAATTAAACAATTAATTGTGAAACATGATAATTTATCACTTTTCTAAATAGAATCAGAGCTTTATATAAAAACAGCAAAGAAGCCAATGGAGTCAGACTTTTCTGCCCTTTAAAAGGACCTTTTAGGTTCTTTTAGATTTAGAATCCTTTTTTTCGCATGCTCACTGAGGAATTTGCCCAAGACGGCCGACGGAAAATCAAACATGTTTGATTTTCTCCCAAACCTCACGATTCCTGATCAGGAGGTGG